GGCCCAGGGCTTTCTGCTGTGCTTCACCCCTGCGGACGCCCCTCCCCCGCCTGCGCGGTCGTCCCCCCCAGGAAATGCGGCTGAAGTCGGGTTAATGCATAATCTAGAGGCGACGTGACTGGACTTCCAAGGGGTTCGCGGAGACGACTGGGCCGAAAGAGAGGCTGCTGGAGTCCGGACCCGCGGCCCCTCGGCCCTCTGGCCTGCCCCTCCCCCGGCGGGGGAGTGGTCCCTCCAGCTGGGGTCCGCAACCGAGCTTTCGGGGTCCAGACTCTTGCTCACTAGGGCGCGGGGGCGTCCCCAGCAGGCCGTGCCCCCCAACGGCGGACCGGTGCGGGCGGTGACTGACGGAAGCGGCGCGCAGACCCGCCCACCTCCCGCCCGGGCCTCGCGGCCAGGGAGCAGGGCGCCCCCTGCTGTCCATCGGCAGGTGGTCCCGTCTGGGCGCCAGACACGCCCCCTCGCCGCTCCAGGCCGCTCTCTCCAGCTTATCCTGGATAGGTGAGGCTCAGAACTGGATCTGCAGTGTGCGAGGTACAGGTTTCTGAGCCAGAGGCATTGAGTGGTGGGTGGTAGACGACACTCCCCCAGAGGAGGACCCCAGCCCACTTTGGCCCTGGTGGGGGATTCCGGGAGAAAGTGACTCCAAGGATCTGTACTTACACTTGCTTTGTTGCAGCATGGCAAAAGGGGGACCTGGGCGGTCTTAGATCTGCATCCCATGCACCCAAAAGTGGTCTTCTGGGCCTCCAGCCAAATCATCCTGAGGCATTTGAAAGTTAAGGTCCAAGTGCCCCCAAGGTAGTGGTCCAGGGACCAGAGAGGTGCACATTCTTCCCACCGTACCCGGATCCTAGGTGCCCGGCCTGACTCCTGTGGAACTCACTGGGTAAGTTGGTACAGGACTGAAAGAAGCATTTCCAGAAGAAGGGAGTGAACTGGCCCATCCGGGAAGGTCTGGGACATGCTCTCCTGGTGGACAGGGTAAACCACCAATTCCCGGCCTGCTGCACTTGGCCTCTTCAGTAGGCATTTCTCTGGAGGATACACATGCCCCCTTCATCCATCCCCACCTCACTGCAGGCAGGACAAAGCAGGTGAGCAGGTTGCAGCCCCCAGTGTTGTGCCAGAGGCTCCCTGGCCCTCCCACCCACAGGTCTAAGGACCCACCCTCACTGCTTCCCGGGCTTTGGGAGGGGCTGATCCCAGGGAGCCACACACTGTGGCCTGTGGAACCTGACCTGGCCTCACCTGTTCCTCCCTAATTCTGCCCACCCAAAGGTGAAAGTGGAGCCATGGTGAGTCTGTGGCTCAGCCTGGCAGGCAGCCCCAGCCAATGTGTCTCTTTAACATTCTTTAGATATGACCCCTTGACCCCAGGAGGCGTGGAAGTAGGTCTCCCTTCAATTTCTGGGAGAAGAGTCACAGTGGAGACCACTCGGCTCTGTGACACCTGGTCCCTTGACTTCTAGCCCAGGCCTGTCGCCCAGGCCTGGTTCTCTCTCAAACCTCCTCCCTCCTAATTCATCAGCAGAGAGAGGGGGAGATCAGGCAGACAGACAGAAGGCAGTTTATCCTTTACATCATCTTTATTCCTAGCACTTGATCCCGGTTGGGGCTCCGCGGTCTTCTAGGCCCCGCCCCCGCGCAGGCGCAGGTTCAGAAACACAGTGCTCTGAGGGGCGAGTCCATACTCCCCCAGCAGCTGCGGCTCTTCCATGGGCCTCCCCTCGAAGCTCAGCCAGAACAGATCTTCCTGGATGTGCTCCTGCTGGGCAACCTGCTGCTTGAGCTCGGCCACCTTCTGCGTCAGCCTGATGCTGTAGGGTCTGGTGCGGCCCTTGTCGTTCCTCACCAGGATGCTCAGGGGGCTGTCACAGTTCTGCACCATCAGCAGGACTGTGCTGCCAGAGGCCAAGCCCTGGCTGGTGAGAGGGACCCTGTCCTGCAGCACGGGGCCACTGGGCAGGGCCAGGTGCTGCTGGAAGGCAGGCACGCCGATCTTCTGGAAAATCTGCTGCTTCAGTTCCGACAGCATCGCGGAGTCACTCAGGGGCACCGGGAGCTCCTGGCCCCCCAGCATCTTCACCTTCAGGTTCCAGCCCTGCGGGCATCACAGAGGCTGGGCTCCCACACTGGCCACAGGTCCTGGGTGCTGTTCTCTGTTGGCTGCCTCCTCCACCCACTGGGCACAGGAAGGCCAGTCTCCCACAGCCTCTAGTTCCTCCCATCACCCTCTGTGTCCCCCTGTGGGCCCATCCCCTCTCCTCACACTTGGGAACCCGGCCAAGCTCAGGGCTTGGCAGTGGGTGCTCTGCTGCTGGGAGACCCCAGCCAGGGGAGGGAGGAAAGTGGGCTGGAGTAGCCCAGCTGCCCCACTGTGCCATCTGCCTCACCATGGCCGGAGTCTCCAGTGCTCGGTCCACCTCCAGTGCTCAGGAGTGGGCTTCCTCTCCCCTCCAGCTGCTCCACAGGCCATTTATGAGTCTCAGCTACACACGTCAGAGGGCGGAGCCTCCCACAGCCCACACCAGTGGCTGGTCGCCTTCAGTTTCGGTTTCCTTTTCCCAGTGCGTGCCCCAGCGTGAGTGAAGAAACAAGACAGAAGGACAGGGAGGTACTCTGGAGGGCCTGGCTCTCAAGGGGACCTGAGGGCCAGGACCCTGTCCCTGCCTCCCAAGGCTCCACCAGGGTGTGCGTTCAAAAGCTCCTAAATGCCCAGCACTCAGACTGCCTACAAGATGCACAAGAGTCATAGTAACATGAACTAATGACTGATAACTTTCACTTTCCATTTACCAGTTTACAAATTAGTTAGCTTGGAAATTTTCACCATGATTAATCTGGAAAAAAATCATAAGATAGGGAAAATCTAAATGACCCAGAGATGACCATTTTAGGACAATATTTGTTCAGATTATTTCTTAGTGAAAGAAATGTATCTT